ATATATATATATATATATTCAAAAGTCATAATCATATTATACTATAGAAGACAAAATAAGAAAAAAATATTAGAATACACAAAATTATAATTTTAATGACAATACCAAAATATTATTGCACATCTCCATCATGATAAGAAGTTAGAGCTCCAAAAATATTTTTATAATTAAAAAAATATATGTTTAACTTTTTTTTATCATTTTTTTAAATTGAAGTAAAATAAATAAGAGATTCCTATATTAATTTAAATGTAAAGTGAGCGGTGATCGACAAGTGGTGACTACGATGATCGCCAACAGTTAAACAGCAGAGGCCGACACAGATAAATTTCTACAGTGTATTTAAAAATCGCTTAATTTTTTAATGAAAATTTTATGACATTGCAATTTCATTAAAACAATGGATGAAATATAAAAATTCTCTACAATTGATTTACATTACTTTACTAATAGAAGCAACCAAATGACCCCTTAATAAAATAACCCAAATTTTATGAAAAACATTATGATCAATAAAATTTATTAAGCACTTAATTAACATTTAATATGGATTAACTCAATCTTATATATTTGGTTCGGATTAGGGCTATGAAATTAGCTCCAAGACCTTTAATCATCGAAAGTCGATTAAAATGTTAGCTTGGTTGAGGTCGGATCCAAACAATGAGTCGGGCTATAAGCCAAATCGTTTTCTTTTCAAACCGATTTCGAGTCATACATGAATCAGCTTGAACTGACTCGAGATCACCTCGTATTATTTTTTATTTATAAAATTTATATATATCTAATGTTAAGTAAAATTGAATATAATGAGTTACAAGCCGATTTCGAGCTGGAATAGATCCAAATAACTCAATTTGAGTTAATTAGTTTCAAGTTTGAGTTAGATCGAACCAATTCTGAGCTAAAACAAATCTAAATAACTCAATTTGAGTCAGCTTGTTTTGATTTCAAGCCGGATCGAGCTCGATTCAATTTTGAGCGGATTTGGCTTGAAATCAAATATAACGAGCCACTGCTAAATCAATTTGAGCCCCAACTCGTCTCGAAATTGAATCGTTAACAACCGCCCTAGTTAGGATATCCAAAATATGAATGAAAAAAGGGCTCAAATTTCTAATTTGTATTGTTCTTACAAAGAAAGAGCAAAATAGAAATTTAAAAAAACGGAAGCCGAAAAGAGAAAAAAGAAAAATAAAAACATTTGCACTGTTATTATATAAGAAGAAAAATTGGACGGCGGAGATGGTGGGATCGATCACTTGGTGATGACATAGACGGCGTAGATGATGCCTGGGAGGTAGCCGAAGAGGGTGAGAACGAGGCAGATCCAGAACTCCTCCTTCAATCCAAACCTGAGGAAGACGCCGAGGGGTGGCAGAAGTATTGCCACCACAATCTCAACAAAATCTCTTCTCGCCATTTTCCCTCTCTCTCTCTCTCTCTCTCTCTCTCTCTCTCTCTCTCTCTCTCTCTCTCTCTCTCTCTCTCTCTCTCTCTCTCTCTCTCTCTCTCTCTCTCTCTCTCTGTTTTAGCGCTTGCAGAGGAAATGGCCGGTTTAAATGGGCTAAAAAAGATAGATAAATAAATAAATATTGCATCAGAACTCTACATATAGAGTTATGTGCGAAGTCCAATGAGATCACGTTACGTGACGGTGATAGGAAAAAAAAACAAAATCTGTCCGTTAACACAAGAGAATATTCCTCCCTTTTTATTCAGATGTTATTGTGTGTTATTCAAATATTATTATGTGTTATTCAAGTGTTATTGTGTTACTATAACACTACGAATATTCCTATAATACAATAACACATGAATAACATATAATAACACCTGATAAACATGAAATACCACTGGAGGAATATTCCTGTGTTATCGGACTAATTTTTTTTTCCGTACCTCCACGTAGTATGATTTCATTGGACTCCGCACGTAACTCTAAGTGCGGAGTCCTGATGCATAATTTTTTGTTTAAATGGGCTAAAAGAGAGAGAGAAATAAATAAATAAATAAATAAATAAATAGTAAAAGAGGAATTTACATATATACATACAATTGGCATCGATTTACATAACTAATATTTAAAATTTCATATCATTGATCAGAAATTTTAGCTTATTATAATCCGGCCTAATTTTGTCGGATATTACTAAACGTGACTTTTCTAAAATGTATTTAGCATCATATTAAAAATATTATTATTACTAACTTCTTTAAAATGAAAAAAGTATTTTCATTGTAAATATAAATTAAAATGTTGAATTTTAAGGCTTTAAATATGTAAATACATGAGAATTGTGTGGAATGTATGTAAAATTAAAAAAAATGGGGACATAAATATATATATTTATATATAATCTAATACTTGTATAAGATTTCAATGATTAATTTAAAATAGAAAATAAAAAATAATTGTATTATAGAATAATAATAATAATAATTCTAATCTAATTTAAAAATCAAAAAGCAAAAAATAATAAATGCATAAATTTATATATCGGATATATAAATTTTTTTAAAATTCTGTTACATAATCTTCCATAAATAAAATAAAATAAAAAGAAAAAAATTTGAGATTCCCGTTAGGAAAATGTGGGAATGGACGGCTTCTATTTTTTATTTTTTTAATATAATTATTATATTTGTCTTTGCGTGCTACTCACCATTTCTGTGTTCTGCCGGCCTTCGTCAAGCCTGCATGGTTTGAGCAAAATTATAATTTGATAATTTAAGGGTTCGTTTGAGGCAGCTTATTTGTGGTCCTGATCTGTTTGGGTAAACTGCGTTTTGACAGCTTATGCGTTTTCAAAACACTAAAAATAGCATTTGTACACCGCACCTGTCTAGGTGTGGTGGCAACTTTCTGGCTGCGGTCTGACTTTTCCAAAAAATAAAAATTTGTAATAGCTACCGCACATAGCTTATCAGCAGATTATTTTTAATCAGCTTATCAGCAGATTATTCAATAAGCTGCAGCTACCCCAAACAGATCCTAATTTTATAAAAAAATTAAATTAAATTATTTAATTTATTTTAAAAAAATATAACCTAAAATTTAGTTGCTTTTTTAAAAATTATATTCACCTTAATGTTAATGTAATAATTTAGAGATATAACTTGATTTCGCATTGATTAGAATATTATATAAATAATTTTGAAATAATAAATTATCACTCATTTTCTATAAAAAAATAACACCTCATTATAAAATTCATTCAAATAAGCTTCCATTAATATATTTTCATATTTTCTTTGTTGAAAAGATTTAAAAATTTGGCCAAAATACTATTAGATGTATTCGGTTTTGAACAAACATAAAAATATATGTATGTTATATGCATAATATTGATTTAAATGTCATGAATCCTCCATTTACATATATACCCCTCAATTTCTATATATTTATACATACATCTGACAATAAATTTTGCTTTTTTATTTATACCACACCAATTTTTCATATCACATTAGAAATACCGCCATTTTATATGGGTGATATATATGCAAAGGGGTATGTATGTAAAAAAAAATGAAGTTTGGATGTTAGACATGTTAATGCATAGGAATTGTGTGATATATATGTAAATCTTTTTTTTTTTTTGTATAAATAGAAATTATATTTTATATGAAAAAAAAATGAGCAATGTAATATTTATGTGATGAAAAAGTTCATGTAAACCATATACACATGGGACTAGGGCTGTCAAAAAGAGCTTGTTGTTCATGAACAATTTGTGTTCGGTTCGTCAATGAGTTCGTGTTTGATTCGTTCGATAAGTATACGAGACGAACGTGAGTGAACAAATTTTTTTTTTTCGTTCGGTTAGTTAAACGAATCAAAAACGAACAGTGATGCGTTAGTTTGTGTTTGAATCTTTATTATTAGAAATATAAAATAATTTAAACTAATTATATATATATAATTTATCATATTTTTAAAAATTAAATTTTATAAATTATAATATAAAATAAATTGATAACAATAATAATATATTAATATAGTATATTAGTAATATAGTGATATAGATATTATATATTTATATAATATAAGTTATATAATTAATATAATATATTTGATACACCACCAACAAAATTTGATCATCCAACACGAATCTCGAGACATGACACAAATCTCGAGATGATATTTTAATCAAGAAACATTTAAATCTTAATAAAAAGTCATCCAGAGCTCCGATTTTAGTAAACTTATGGTCAAACTAACGGGTTCGATGAGACGGACATAATGATATGAAAACTAGCCCAATTCAAGTCAAATCAAACCCAGATCAAGTCATTAAACCACAGTTAGAAGATTTATGAATACATTTAGAAAGTCAAACGGTTGTCAAATATGACAAATTTAGACTCAAATCGAGCGGCTCGACAAGACAAATCCAATGAGCTCAATATCCCTAAATCAATATCACTAAATTCTGACATCATTAAGGCACTTAAATGTCCATTAAACGCCATATGATTGAGGGAAGCTCGTCGGACCGTCCGATCAAAATGGTTCATATTCTTGCATTAATTGTACCCAGAACACTATAAATAGAGTCTCATCCCTCTCATGAAAGGAGGGGGGAGTCTAGAGTGAGCCTGGGGTCTTGCGGAGAAGCTGTAGCTCAGCACCACCTCCGTCAACCGCAGCCAACCTCCGTCGTCGATCGCCGACGATCACCACCGACCTCGGACGATCACCGTCTGTCGTCGTTGACCACCGCCAACCGTCGTCGACCACCACCAACAGTCGTCAACCACCACCTACCGTCATCAATCACCACCAACCAGACGTCATCAGACGAGATTGTAATCCGAGAAATATAGTTACCCTTTCCAGTCTATGGGATAAGGGATTTCTGTAATCATCAATTAATAGTAGACTTCCACAACTGGGCCAGACCCCGTGATTTTTCCCTAACGGGTTTTCCACGCAAAAACTTCTGGAACCATCACTGTTTTTTTCTATTTCATCTGTGTGTGTGCTGAACTTTCGTACAATGCTAACAATAATTTGTTACTCTACCGCCGCGAATTTTCCAGCACACATCAATATTATTTAAATATATTAATCTGGGATATCAAACTGGCTCATCGTTCATGAACAGCTCATGTTCGACTCGTTCGTTAAGAAACGAACACGAACAGTGACTTCACGAACAATTTTGAACACGAGCTTATTTCAAACAAACTAAATTTTAAACGAACCGAACACGAACACAAGTTCTATTCATTCGTGTTCGGTTCGTTTACACCCCTACATGGGACATACCAACCGATTCCTTTTTTATTTACAAATCTAGCACCTAAACTTTACTTTTTTATATTTATAGCACGTAATTTTTTTATATTACGTCAAAACTATCACTGCTCTAAATTTTAAAGAGTTAAATACAAGTTTTCATAAAGTGGCATGAATGTAAAAATTGATTTTTAGGCATTAAATATGTAAATACATAGGAATTGAGTGGTATGTATGTAAGCCTTCCTAAAGTGTATTGATATGTGATGAAAAAACTTAAAGAGGCATTTTCTTTGATTAATATTTGGGTTATTTACATACATACCACTCAATTCCTACGTACTTATTTGATTAATATTTCAATTATTTCATCTCAAATTTATAAATAAATATATTTTTAATTTAGTTTTAAGGAGAAGAGATTATAAATACACGAAGACTTCATTATATTTGCCTTATAAAATTGCATTATCTTCATTATAATAATAATAATAGAGGGGGCATTTATATATATCTATATATATATATATATCACTGAATTCTTATGTATTTATATATCCAACACCTAAAAGAAAATGTTTTTTACATTTATATCCCCCAAACCTTTCATATATTTCACATTAAAAATATCATTATTTTAACTTTTTTTTTTTTAAATTGAAATGATGTGAAAATTGAAGGTTGGGTGTTTAGATATGTAAATAGAAAAGAATTGAATGGTATGTATAATTTTTAATTTATTTCATTCCAACTATTCACTTTCAGTGATTTAACTGCAATTATTTCTAATAAATATAGGGGAAAAAATATATAATATATGAATTCCTTGAATTCAGTTACATATGTTGTTGAATCTTGATTTGTCCTTGATCACACCCACTGAATAGAACATAAGGAGAGAGAGGGCAACTAAGAGATGAGTGAATAGTAAAACGTTGTATTAATAGTGTTTTATTCATAAAATGATCTCCTAATTTATAGAAGAGAAGATACAATGTGATGATGTTACATTTTTGTCTCTGCTTTAAAAAGATTGTATATGGTAGTTTTGGTACTTTACATGTATGGGCATATCGTCTGACAGCTCTCTAGGTAGGCCAACTAAACTCAATTTGATTTATCTAAGTTGGTTGAGATCAGTTGATTGGAAGGAATCAGCTCGATCGGATGAGTTTGATAAGTATAAGTTTGTCGGTTGATATGGTTTGATAATC